AATGGGGATCTGCTGAAAAGCCTGTGTTTTACACTGGTTTCATACTTTTGATGAACTTACAGGCTTCAGATTGTCCTAAAAAGTCCTAATCTTCTGCTAAAAATCATAATCTTTTAAGTTGTCTAGATTATTTATTGTACCTTCAGTCACCCAAATTCTTTTAATTATTTAAGTTACCTTTCTCTGTTTTTAAATGCTTTTAAGTTTTCTTGTTGGGATGACCCAAATGACTCATAATTTTGCACTCCAGATGGTTTGTATACAATAGTAAATTTTCTTGTTTTAGAAATACTCCTTTTTGGTTACCACTAGCTTTAATTGAGCTCAATTGAGAATTAGGTTGTTATTTGTTGTTGTTTCTGTTCTCTTTGTATTGTTGTTTCTGGCATTATTTAGAGTTTTGATTCAAATGTACTCATTTCTAATCAACAAGAAAACACCTTAATTATCCACTCACATAATTTTATGTGCAAGTTCACAAGTTTTCATATATGCCATAAGCTCTTACATTTAAAACCAATATAGAACAGTGAGTAAAAACAGTGTACTCATTGTATGACTACTTGTAATGTGATCAGAGGTGTATCATTAGATCTAGCCAAGTATATTGTCTCTTTTTTCATTTATATTTTCACTTGTTTGTGATTTTGAAAATAACATAATCCAAACATTTTTCTTTAACTTCAAGACATATACTTCCTTATTATCCCCCCATCTCCACTTATGCCCTCCTCTTTATAGAACAAAGAGCAAGACAGATGTGGGTTTTGGGGGTGGCAGGAAGCAGTGGTGTCATCATAGCTCACTGCAACCTCAAACTCCTGGGCTCAGGTGATCCTCCTGCTTCAGCCTCCCAAGTAGCTGGGACTACAGGCATGTGCCACTATGCCCGCCTAATTTTTTCTATATATATTTTGTTTTAGTTGTCCAGATAATTTCTTTCTATTTTTAGTAGAGATGTGGTCTCACTCTTGCTCAGGCTGGTCTCAAACTCCTGACCTTGAGCGATCCACCTGCCTTGGCCTCCCAGAGTGCTAGGATTACAGGCATGAGCCACCGCACCTGACCCAAAATCCAAAATTTTTGAACACTGACAAGATACCACAAGTAGAAAATTCCACACCTGACCTCATGTGACAAGTGTGCAAAATTATTTAAAATATTGTATAAAGTTACCTTACAGCCATGTGTATAAGGTATATAAGAAACATAAATGACTTTTGTATTTATGCTTGGATCCCATCCCCAAGATATATGATTATATGTATGCAAACATTCCGAAATCTGAAGCGCAGTCCTTTGCATTTCGTGTAAAGGATACTCAGCCTGTACTGAGATGGTTTTTTACTTCTCATACCGTCTATTATTGATGGCTAGTGATGCTTAAGGTTGTGATGCTACGTTGGAGATTTGCTGGAAAAAATACTGATCCATTAGCATTATCTTTTTTGATTTTCTTATATAATGGGTTACACATGAGGTAAAATAGGTTAGTGCCTTCTTTATCAGGCTATTTTGAGGATTAAATAACATGTAAATCACTTTTATTATATGTTTGGCACTAGCAAATACAGAGTAAATCATTCATTAATTCTGTAAATATTTATTAAGTGCTTACATCAAGCACTATTTCAGTACTTATTAAATGGTAGTACATATTAAATGATAGATTATTGTTCTTGTATCTTTACTCCTTCATTGTTATAAGTTTCAATTACTAACCATCAAGCATTTACATACTTATGTATTTGGCACCTTTATTAAAAAAAATTCAAATCAATACATCTGTTATAGCTGCAGCCTGTCTCAAAATTATATGCAAAATTCTATATATTCACCTGTAGCCATTCCTCAACTTGTTATAATCTGGCTTCTCTTTCTTCCATTTTACCTCCTGAGTACTAAATCTCACTTGACTCTAGCACTTGAAACGCTATTCTCCTCACTCGTGTTACTTGTTACCTCCCAGTTTTCTTCTACTTCTAACACATCTCTCTTTTCTCCTTTTCTGGCATCTCTTCTACTGCCTACACTTCAAATGTTACTGTTAACTAGGGTGTATCTTCAGATTTTCTTCTCTTACTCTCCTGAATGATGTTCCACTCCATCAGTTTCAATTACAATACTTACCAGATGACTCCCAATCTGTATCTTTAGATCAAACTTTTTTTGTTAAAATTATATTTCTTATATTTCTGACTG